CCTACTATGCAGCACAGGACTTCTCTAATCCACACATTGTCAATTACTTTTCAGTCAAGGTTACATTTAAACGAGGACTGCTAGACTGCACTAGGCATAGAGACAGGACTGCAGAGTGAGGAACTAAATCAAGAAATTGCAACAACTCGGCATTAATCGCGCAATTTGGACACCTGGGCATGTAGATAATACCCACAGTGAGACATTTAATGGATGTGGTGTGCCGTGTTCGCAAATAATTTCTGGATAAATGATCTAGACAGGTCTGGATGAAATTAAGCCGTGGTTTTAACTAGTTAAGGTTTCTTGATATGTTCCTAAAGCCATTTAATAAGGCTGTCATGATTGTAACTGACAGGTCTTTTGGAGCGCAGAATTATTATTTAAGGCAGAATTATTGATAAAATATCATGTGAAAGACCAGGAAGAATGTGGTTTGATAGTCTTTAAGAAGAGAAAATATATTTTTTAAGATCATGGAAAAGGTTAACGATAGGAATATATGACAGGAAGGCACTCCGTAATGATGATAGATTGAAAACGGATTCATTTGAAAAGTAACCCTCAAGATGACAGTGCACAAAGCCTGGAGAGCAAAATATATGAACCACAAAAATAATGTATTAAAGCAAATGAAAGTTCTTTATTAATATAGCCCAAGTTTATTTTTTACATTTATAAAGTTAAACTGGAAATCTCGATATTCATCCACAAGTGATGCAGGCAACTTTATGCAAATTCTTCTAGCAGAATGACTGCAGTGGGGTTCAGAACGATGCTGACCCCGTGATTCACGTCAGACCTCAGGCAGTACTCTTAGGTTTTTTTCGGTAAAGTCACGTAGGTAAAAATAAATAATAATAATTATAGAAATAATAATATAAATACAATTATAAATCACGACGTTTCGGAGGCAACACAAGTCTCCGTCATCAGGTGGGACCGTCACAGCTAGATTTACTGTATCAAGTGAGGCAAAATTTCAAGAGACAAGCGCTTAAATACAAGTTAAGGGGGGGAGGAGGGGGGAGGGGCGTATCTGAATGTGGTAGCCAATGAATGGAACGTGTTGGGGGGTGGGCGGGGCTAAAAGAGAACAATAGGTGCACATGTTGTTTTAGTCCCAGCAGTCCCAACTCGACGGTCGCTCGTGTCCCCGTAGGCGGAAAGCAGCGCAGCATCCCGTTCCACCGGCAGCGCATGCAGATTGACGAGATGGTGCCTCCCTCGGGCCTGTCGGCTCCACCCGTAGCCCAGCCACACGACCCCTACGTGGTCGACATTGTGAAGCTCACCAGCACAAGGTGAGTGTGGCAGGTTCGAAGTGGCCGGGCCAGTGAAGGGAGATATTAACCTCGATTCAGTGCAGGGGTGTGGTGCCATGGTGACGCGGTTAGCACGCTGGACTTGCAATCGAGAGGTCGCCGGTCCGATCCCCCACCGCGGCAAGTATAATACTTCAAATCTAGAGTATAATACGTTTCTTAACCCCTGCCTGGACACCGGCAAAGCATCTGACCTGGTGCGCATCGTTCTGTAGGTTGGAGGAACAAGAGCGGGAGGTGCAGAGGCTCAAGGATGAGTTGGAGAGGTCCGAGCTGGGAGTGAAAACCCTCAGGAAGCAGGTGAGTGTCACGTGCCCAGAGCAGCAGCCAGCATGAACCACATGTCGTTTAACGATTTTGCTTATGTCCTTTGCACAGATATTCACCCCCATTCTAGCCTTACACGACCGTCAGGGCAAGTGCTTGTTAGTTCCAGAAACACATAAAGTCACATTCACAGGTTGGCACACGTTTGGCAGAATTTTACCGACGACTCCATCATAAACAATGAAGAAATTCACTAAACGCTGAACGTTAAACAGTGTAGTTTCATAGCGATAAAGGTTTTTAAAGCAATTTTGTTGTCCACGTTGCGTTGTTTAACGTAGTCTGCAGCAGAGTGAAAATAAACGTAGGTTGTGCGTGGGTGTTCAACATGGCTTGGTAATGTGCAAATGTGTTGCAAATAGGAGCAACAAAAGTTGCATGAGATAGCATGAGATGTCGTGCATCATTTGTGGAATGAAACAAACTGCAGCTCAATATGAATGAATGTGTTTTAGTCATTGTGTCATTGTGAAAATTTGGCCCATAATCCACATTGCTGTTTATGGTATTGTCAACATGCAGTAATGTGAGCTGACCATCACGAGCTGTACCACTTTCTTCAGAGCAATGCATCGTCACGCATTCATTTCTACGAGTTTGTTCACGGGTTTTAATAGAAGCAATTATTTTATGCCTGCATTCTAATGCTTTCATTTATACAGAGAGACAGACATGCAGGTGAAGTGAGGGCTTTAATTCCTTACTGACAAACATCCTGCTCATTGGTTTACTGGAGTAGATGGCACATGACTAGTAAGCCACAGCCATCACTAGAGGTATACTGGATGTGGTGTGCCAGGTGCGGAAATATTTCCAGGTTGCTGACCCAGACAGGCTCAGCTGAAACGTTGCCCCTGGGCATCATTTATTTGCAACCGCAGTGGTCCGCGCCGCTTTGCTTTCCGATGGGACTCGGTGAGCAATTATCTCGCATGTGCTCGTGGTTAATGGCGTGTGCTGTCAGCATTTGGGATGAGTGGTTCCAAGCGATTGCCTTCATCGGGCAGCGTAGGGCCTGACCTCGGACGCACGCGTGACGTCTGGGGCGGATTAACAATGATGGCTAATTATATCCCCTGGTTGCGTGGGGCGTTTCCTAGACCCTCAAAGCGGTCTGCTATGCAACCTGAACACTCTGATAAACGTTGTGGACAGTGTTGTTCATAATGTAAAACCTGCATAGACCTCAAAAATGACTGGATACTATTTCAAATGATCATGGTATACATGCATCTTGTAGCCCTGAGCAATTTGTGGAAATCCCAGAATGTTGATAAGTTCCAGCCTTTGTTAATCAACTGCTGGATGAAGGCCTGCCCGCAATGAGTTGTCCATGGGGTTTGTTTGACCATACTTCACTGCGTGAGTTGGTGAATGGTGGGGGCCAAAGACCAGTTCAGATACCACTCACCACTCATTGTTAGCTGTGGCCTGGAATAAAACTCATGTCGTCAAGTTCAAAGCAATCCTACAATGGAGTGAGTAATCTGTTTTACAACCACTGTTAACTTCCCACAAAGTGGTATTTGTTTTTATCAACCCACGAGAAATGACGGGCTGAGTCAAACTCAACAAGGTTGAATTTTTATCCTTCTGATCGTGATTTTGAGTGCACTAACAATTGCAACACCCGGATTGTGTGAACCTAAGGAGAACAATGTTCAGGGGAACGTGGCGCTGTGATTGATGATGTGACAGGAACTTTCCTGTGTCTGAGTCAGAGCTGAACAGGCACCAGAGTATACGATTCTTTCTTGTGTGAGATGGGATGCGTGGGTTTCTCATTGAACTCACACAGTGCATGTTACAAGTTTAAGTTTATTTTGTTTAACCAGTTGAGTACCAAGACACCAGTATAGACTTATTTTCAAGAGTTACCTGGGTTTCTAAAATGACAAAGACAAAATTATAAAAAAGTACAACAGTGACGCAAACACAAATCTATGTTAAATCTATGTTAAATATTAAATTGCCTGCAGCGCAAGTTGGCTAGGTGAATATTTTTTTACTGATTCAGTTACAGAAACATTAAAGAGATATATAGGGTGACTTGAACTAATATGTAAACAGACGAGGTTATATGATGTAAAATGCAATTGCAAGTGAAGTCATAAATAATCTCGAGCTCGGCATCAAACTGCGACTGTGGTGGGGTCCCAGGTGTTTGGGACATTAACAGAGAAACATCCCCACTGTGTCTAAACTCCGATTCTGTGGGTCTCTGTGTGAGGATATGGGTCTCTGTGTGAGTCTGGGTCTCTGTGTGAGTCTTTGGGTCTCTGTGAGTCTATGGGTCTCTGTGTGAGTCTATGGGTCTCTGTGAGGCTGTGGGTCTGTGTGAGTCTATGGGTCTCTGTGTGAGTCTATGGGTCTCTGTGTGAGGCTACGGGCTCTCTGTGAGTCTATGGGTCTCTGTGTGAGTCTATGGGTCTATGTGTGAGGCTGTGGGTCTTTGTGTGAGGCTGTCGGTCTCTGTGTGAGTCTGTAGGTCTGTGTGTGAGTCTATGGGTCTCTGTGTGAGGCTATTTAAGTTCAATTACTCGCAGGGGGAAGTGATTTAAACAATGGCCTTTATCTCGTCCATGAGCCCAGACCAGACGTTTCACTTGTCGGTACAGTGCAACCAGAGGTGGCATAACTTGAGTGGTTCCAATTTCTCTGTGGTCAATAACAGTGACTTAACTGAAAGCCATTTGAAATTAGTGGAGTGATTGCATAATATAATTCACTCTAAATTGGCCATACAAATACATCGGTACGACTAAAGTTTTGCTACCCCTGTGGTATCAATATCTGCTCTGGTTCTTGGACTTAAAAAAGCCTCAAAACATTCGTCATTATCACTGCCTTAAGAGATAAAGTAATTTAAAAGTCAACGTTTCAGGCAAGGACCCTTGAGAGTTATATCTACGAGTGCACGTTCAGCTGCCAACGAAGTATCACCAAATATGAAACAAAAAACGAGAAACCTTGGTGTTTATCGACTATCGCTTTCGCAAGTGATAAACTGGATCTGCCGAGTAACTTGAGGATGGCTGTCCACGCTCATTTGAGTGGAACAGCGCAGTTATTTTGCTGCACCGTTCACATGCGTTGCAGCGTCGTGGATATCATTCTGCAACCTCGTGGCTTGGCACTGTGGTCGTAGCGCGGACTCGGGCGGGGGGGAGCGGCCGATAAAATTGAGTACCACTTTGTCGGGGGAAAAAAACAAAAACAACAGCAGCGGCGGTTGTCCTCGCCGATCAACTCGCCAACCCGTCAAGTCCATAGCAACGTCGAATTTCCACCGCGAGGCCGAGGGGCTCGGTACAGAGTCTGTCCACCGCGGTTACTGCCACCTACCGGCCGGCCACGTGGGTCTTTAACGTCCACTTTGTAACCGCCCGCCGGTGGCGTGCTCGCCGGACACGGCGTGGGGGAGCACCGCTGACCGGTAGACAGCTACAACTACCTTGACTGACCCCGGCCCGAGTACTTGAGCTCGGGCACTGCGGTACCGTGAGCGAACAGCGTTGAGTCGTCCTCGGGCGGGCACGCGAAACGTGGCGAGGGTTGCAACAGGGGCAACGGAGGCGAGGAAAGTAAACAGCACGCGTACACTGAGCACCTGCAACGCACACGAAGGTAACGTGGATGGGTGGCCAGCACCACGCCCGGCCGCCTTTGTCTCCCCGGTGCCGATGTGTACACATCGCACCAGGCCCTCGTTTGAGGCTGATTCGACCTAGGGGAGGGCTCGGCACAGATTCAGAGAATCCGTGACTTGGTGTTGGCCAAGAGCGGGAATCTCACTCGGGTTCGCCCGCCGGGTCCGCTAACCACTCACTCCACCGCTAACCACTCACACCACCGCTCCTCACTCCACCGCTAATCACTCACACCACCGCTCCCAACTCACACCACCGCTCCCCACTCACACCACCGCTAACCACTTACACCACCGCTCCCCACTCACACCACTGCTCCCCACCGCACTCCCCGAAACACACACACGTCCTCGCACGGTTGGGGCTGACAGACGCGCTGATAACAACGGCACACACACGAACCCACGCGCGCGTGTGCGCACGTGTTGGGACAGCCGTTTCTAAGCACGCCGCTCTCAGGGCAACTAGCGTCCCCCCCCTCTTCAACCCCCCTCCATCGTTTCATCCATCCCTCTCACTTGGATGCACACGCATTCACACACACGCATGTACAGGAACAGACACACACACACTCGTACAGAGAGAGACGCGCGCGCAGTCGCACACTTGCTACTCGCGTGCGCACGCAGAGGCACACTTGCTACGTACACGAGCAAAGGAGTTCACACGGAGACAAAGACAGGCAGAGATCACCCGTGCACTCTACAGTCTATGTAGACTGCTGGTGCTATTAGCGAACGCGGCGCACGATAAGCGGTGGTGTGGTGAAACCCCACGCGTAGGAGTACACTCATATATAGGCCTGCAACTCATTCATATAGCGTGCGTACAGTACTGACGCACACGCATACACACAAGTAGTACACAGAAGCACTCGCACAACAGTGAACGCGCTCACAGGCGTATACATGCACACGCAGGTACACTCACGTCGACACACTCTCACACACACAGACACACACTCTCATCAAACACTCACACACTCACACACAGACACACACTCTCACACACACAGACACACTCACACACACAGACATACACACAGACACACAGACAAACTCTCACACCACACTCAGACCACACACAGACACACACTCACACACGTGTCTCCCGCTCCATTCATAGCTAGATCGCGCTTCAATCACGGTCGGCACAAATCCACCACCACCACCGCCGCCGCCTTGAGGCTCATCACTCCCCTCCCCCCGCACCTCGTCTCGAGCTTCGGCCTCTTGCCGTACAGCAGCAGCAGCAGCTGAGCAGCAGCAGCAGCAGCGACGAAGCAGTGTGCACGGCGCGATCGAGAAGACGACCCGAGGCAGTGCTTTAGGAGGAGCCGGCGCTGCGATGTCCTCTTCCCGGCGGCACAGGAGCGCGTCCGGGGTGCGACCTCCGGTAACCGACGGCGCGGGGGGTGGGGGGCAGGGGGGCACCGCGTGCCGCCGTTAGGATTTGAAGCCCGACGTTTCGCTTCCACTTGCTTGGGAGAGCTTCTTGGAGGAACTCACTCGATGGTTTGTTGTAAAATTGCACTGAGTGGTCCGTGCGGCTTTGATGTCCGACGAAACTCTTCCACGTGCTGGGAAGCTTCTTTTCAGTATTGGCATGGAAGCGTCTTCGTCTAACCGACTGTTAATTGTTTTTTTATTTAAAGCTTTCGTGACTGCAGGGATTCATATTCTTGGTTCTTTCGGTAAAGTCATCAGGTGTTTTTCACACCTGATGATGATTGCTTGTGTTGCAGTCGAAACGTGAGAATTTTATTGTTTAATATTTTTATTATTTTATTGTTTCCCTTCCACGGGACTTTACCGAAAGAACCAAGAATACGACTATTCATTGTTATACGCTTTACAATTGAGATTGGGAACTGCTCAGTTACATCTAGCTTGACCAAGCGGCCATAGCGAGAGGTATGTATGGTAGATGTGGTGTGCCGGGTGTGAAAATATATTCAGAGGCGTTTGAAGTCAAGCTCTGTGTATGGAGCGTGCATACCAATATCTGTGCCCGTGCAGGTGCCGTTTGGAGAGCGGTGGCGCAGCGGTTAGCACGCTGCGCTACGATTCCAGCGAACCGAGTTTGATTCCTGTTTCCGGCCAACGTCAGTGACGATTATCTAAACCAGTTCTGGGCCTCCCCAAGGTAGATTCAGCCTAAAATGAGTACCTGGTGTGGTGTGTAAACACTGCCGCTAGGGAGACAAAGGCGGTAGGGATTGGTGTTGGCCACACACCCCATTGTGTGCCGTTCTGCCCTTCATAGGTGCTCGCTAACAGCACCTGCCCCAACAGTCTGTGCTGGCTATTTGGGGGATCTTTTTTTTATTAATGGACAATGGGAGAATGACCGTAAATTGAATGTCGACTCAACCCCTGTGGGGTGAAAGTTCAGCAAGGACTATCGTAAACTACTCACCGCCCTACCATGGAGTGAGGCTTTAACGGAAAGTGGTTGTTTTATCGACCCAGGATATGTGATAATGATGATTGGAGTGACGAGGTGCATGCTGAATCTGAATGATGATTATGATGTTAAAGATCATGCTTAATGACATTCAGAATTGTGCTCATCGATGATAATGATATGAATGTGAATGCCTAATAATGTGAATAATTACATGCTGTTTGATGATGATCATGATATGTATGATTTTTCATGATGTAAGTAATAATGTTTAATGATATGAATGGGCTTATTTAGCACTGTCGTTTTTATAGAGAGAGGCAGGTTAGTTTATTGCAGCAGAGCAGAAGAAGGTCTTGGGTCTGAACTTAAACAGTGGCAGGGAGTTGACAGCGTGGACGACTGTGGGAAGGGAGTTTCAGACAGCGGGGGGCAGCAGGGGAGAATGAGCGACCTCCCGCTCAGCAAGGTCGATGGTGATGCTTCACGATGTGAACGATGATTATCATGATGATGCTTTTAAATAATGCGTCGACGGCGACTTTGATCATAACCAATACTTTTTCAAACAAAAAATTGGGCTTATAGGCAAAACACTACCGCTAAAGTTTGTTTTACGAGGACAGGTGATGGGTCAGCCCCTGCCGTGGTTCCCGTGGACTAGGGGACTGTGTGGGCTTGTTTGGTGGGCTGTGCCGCTGGCCAGGAGAGCCCTCGGCAAGCTTGAGGAGGTGGAGCGACCGCCGTGCTTGGCTCCGGCCGCCCGTTTCACGGTCAGATGGAGATGCCTTCGCGCAAGGAAAGCCGGTCTCCATGGGTACGGCTTGGGGCCACAGCATCCGGCTCTGTGCAGAAGTTTCTCCCGACAAGTTTCGACATGACGTGCGCGTGGGACTCGGCGAACAACAAGATGTTATTTAGATAAGCAAATTGCCCTGCAACCGGTGGCCGTGATTTGCAAGGGCACGCAGGTTACCATGACAACCCTGCAGCACGCCGTGAGATTACAATGCGTGCGATGCCATCGATGTCACCCTGTTGTCAATCCGCTGCTGGACGAGGGGCTCTTTGCGCCGTATTGGTCGTGGGGGGAGGTATTTAACCATATTTCACCACGCCGATCAGTGCGGGTTGATGAAGACGGGGAGCATAGTCGTTGGAGCATACTACAGTACAACACCACCGTCTGCTGACAATGTAGCTCCGCAGGCTTTATGCGCTGCGGTCCACCACCCACACACTCTCCAGGCTTTACTCTGCTTAGCTTCTGATAGCTGACGAGGTGGGGCACATTCCCGGGTGGCTTGCTCATAGGCTCAAAGAAGGTATGCAAATGCATGCTGCGTGCCGGTCTGAGATGCATCCATCCGAGAATCCTCACACGAGCTGTTCCGCCCATCTGCATTTTGCAGGAATTCCTTCCCGGTAAGTGGGACATGGGCCGGGCCTGTGAGTTGTGGGCATTGCCGGCCGGTCTCCGTGGAGACGCCGCTTTGTGCCGGTAACGGCTGGCAAGGGACAAGGTCATTTCAGCGTTTAATGGCCCTGGAGATAGAGCCGAGTTTGTCTGGATGAGAGGGCTCCCCAAGAAGTTGCAAACTGGTGCCTCCCGCCTCCAGGCCATGACTTTGCAGTGGCACGGAGCTAAAGAGCCAACATGTGTCGACATGGTGGCCTGTTTTAAAATGTTTTTCTCCCGAGGGATGCGTCGACCATGGAGATGGAGCGAGGATATTTGCTCGTGTGCACGTGCTAGGTGCATTGCTACCCGTGAGTGCCAGTGACGACTTCAGAAGGCATTCATCTATCAGTGGATTTATCATGGCTGATGATTAAGAAAACATTTGCACAGATTTCACTTTCAACAGAAATAGTTTTTTCTTGGGTCTTTCGGTAAAGTCACGTAGATAGGTTCAAAGAAAATAACAACAAACTACGACGTTTCGATCGCAACACAAGCGTTCGTCATCAGGAATAAAAAGTGTATATGGTTGTGTATGTGCATGCAATATGGGCACTTGCGATTGATTGGTGCATGTACAGTTGATTTTAATGTGTTTGGTGCATGTACATATGTTTGTGTGTGTGACCTTTGTGGGCCGCGGTAGCGTAGTGGTTAGCACACTGCTACGAACCCGGTGACCCGACTTTGCCACCCCTAGGCCAACTCGGCTTCAACTGAGTACCCCGTGCAATGTGGTGGCCTAGCGTGGTGTTGACCACCCACCCCACTGGGGGAAGACACACACAGAGACGCCCACCCCAAGTGACACCCACCACATTGGGGTGGGTGTCACTTGCCCAAGCAGCCTGCTTGAGGCTATAGGGGCGATCTTTGTGTGTGTCTCCCAGCTAGACCAACAAGGAAGTGGGAAGTGTGGGTGCTATATCTGAAAGTCGCCCGAATTAGTTAACCCATAACATTAGGATCTGTCCCCGTGAATCTCCTGCTGGCGAGCCTTTGCTATTCCACCTGGCGTGAAGCGGCACCTCGCCAGACACAAGCGCCGTGTGACACGTGGGTGTCTGAACAAGATCTGGGCCATCCCTAAATTAACTCGGACTTATTCTTTGGGTCTTTCGGTAAAGTCACGTAGATGGGTTCAAAGAAAATCGTTTTTGGTTATTTGTTGTTATTTTCCTTGAACCTATCTACGTGACTTTACCGAAAGATCCAAAGAATATTAATTCCTGCAGTCACGAAAGCTTTAAGTCAAGATTTAACTCGGACTTAAATATTATCCTGATTCACCATGTAAGCGTGGAATCTCTCTGTGTTTACACGTGGAGATGGAGGATAGAGACTGCGAGATCGATCGTCTGGGACGCACGCTCAGCGGGGGGCTTCCGCACGATGTCGTCTCCCTCGAAGCCAAGAACCGCAGCAACGAGAAACTCATATCTCACCTCAACCTGCAGGTGAGCCCGCCGTGATGGACCTCCAACCACCTCCGCAACCACAATCACCCCTCGCCCAGCCTTTGCCGTGTAGCAGAGTAAGGCTGCACAGGCATAGGGCAACGTCTTCAAGAAACCTTTGGTCTTGAGCTATTCCCTGGCGCAAGGTGGTGCAGCGTTTGCCAGATTAACGTTTTTAATGCCTTCCAACTAAAGTCGAGAGCATTCATGCATTAGCTTTATCTTGTCTGTGTGTCTGGCCATGTCTGCTTGCCTGCCTGCCTGCCCATGTGCCATCATCTTGTTGTGCAATTTGAAACTTAACATTAGTAACCCCAATTCAATAATTTCAAGGACAAACCCATGTTGAGAATAGATTACATAGAGGTGACCCCCGACTTACGACTCACGAAGTCTAGCCTATAATTAGAGGGGGGGGGGGGGGGGAAGAAAACAATTAACTAAATATATATTTTCAAATACCGTGGACGGTCCTTTTCCCGTCCGCCGACCCCTTTGGATGCGTGGCAGGTGGAGTACCTTCAGCAGGCAAACCGCGACCTGCAGGAGCGCACGTCGCGCCTCTCGGAGCGCGAGCACAGCAAGGAGTGCGAGGCGGCGGAGCTGAGCGTGCGCAACGAGGAGCTGTGCCGCGAACTCACCGACATCGACGCTCTCGCGCAGCAGATGGAGCGCGAGCGCGACTCCACGCTGCTCTCCGCTCGCCGAGAGCTCGACACCGCCAAGGTTGCTCCGCGCGCCGTCGACACCCTGCGGCTTCAACTAAATTACAGTTTTTGTTTTACCGGGAAAGGCCTTCCGAGCTATGTAGCTCTTTTTCAGAAGCCACCTGGCCACGTATGATAGCCCAACCAAGTGGCTTATTGTATGGACATTTATAGCAGCCAAATACTCTAAACGCACGTTGGGTCTAAATGCGGTGGGAAAAAATGGAGGACACGGAAAAAAATCCACATGACCACAGTGAGAACATGCAAACTCCAAATATACAGCAGGCGTCAGGGTTTGGATTGAACCCACGACCTCCTGTATACCAGGCGAGGGAGTTAATATCTAGCCACCGCGGCGCCACAACTTGCGACTTGCGCCGTAACTTGCAAATGCTGCCTCCAGCCTCGATTAGACGGCCATGAACCCACAGCCACAAGCCCACGCTGGCACCGACCTTATTACGCCTATAAATACACTCCGATTGCGGAGGAGTGTTTTCATACATACCCAGCCTTGATCTTGAATACTTGCAAATCCATCCCAGCATAAAACCGTTGCAAACACTTCCCAGTCTCGATCTTATAGTCGGTCTTCTTACACTTACCGGTCCACTATGATCAGGGTGCAATGATTGCAAACATGTCCTTGCCTTGATCTCTAAAACTTGCGAACCCTTCCCAGCATCTTAACAGTCGCAAATGCACCCTAGCCTAAATCTACCGCTCACAAGCACAACCCCAGGCTCGCCTCAAACTCACTCTTGGGAATTATGTTTGCTGCAGGGAATTATATTTGCAATATTCTCAATTCCTCACGTGATAATGTTTTTGTTCCGATTTGTATTTGTTTACATTTTTAAATTTTGGTGACCCATTCCACTCTTGCAAATGAGATTATCCTGGACTCTTGAGTTCTCACCGACTTAAGCAATCTAAACTTGAAACACTCTTGTTACCCTGGGGGTTTTAATGGCGATTGTCCCCATCAGATCAAAATACGGTCGAACATTCAACGCGCCGAGTTGGCTTTATTTGTTGTAACATGAATCGTGCTCTCTCGTTGCAGTCTGAAAACAAGCATCTGCAGAGAGAAGTTGAAGCATATGAAGATAAAGTTGCTAAGCTGAGATCCGTAAGCTTAACAAAAGATACGCGAGTTTCAAATACGCATGACATGGATAATAACGGGGTTTTGTTAAGGAAACAGATCTCCCGGGGGGAACCCCACCCCTGAATTAGCCTGGTACGTTGAGGACGCGGTGCACACGCGTGTGCGTGCGTGTGCGGCTCCAGGAGTCGGGCGAGGCGGAGGCGGAGGTGGTGAGGCTGCGCGTGGAGCTGGAGTCTCGCGCCACCGAAAGCCGCCGGCTCTCCGAGCTGCTCGACTCGGCGCAGGACGAAAAGCAGCGGCTCAGCAACCGGCTCAACAAGCTCACCGTCACTGGCACGTCGCCACACTCTGAGCTCACCAGGCCTCGTGGATCGCTGCACAGGCCCTGACTGCTGCTCCACACTACAAATGCAAAGGCGAAGGTTCCACGTGTGGCCTTCCAGACCAGTGGGTCCCGAATTTTATGGAGACACGGACCATTGTCAATCCTCAACAAACTATCGCGAACCGCCATGCAACAATAAGAAATATTTTCCAAAATTAAAACTACCCTAAATTGTAGTTACTGCAATGAGTCAATCCGTGGACCACTTCCAACGCCCTTGCAAGTGTTGCTAGCAAGAACCTATTCATGTTTTCACAGACGCATTAAAAACACACGCCTTCTAAAAATGTAAGCGTCTTTTAAACAGCTTGCACCATGACTGCTAACAGCAATCACCGATACTCTTCCTCGGCATTCTAACATTTGTTACTTAATCTCCCCCACCCCTGCCACTTTGCCGTGGTTTTCCTTTGGCACTGGCTCCTGCGCAGAGCGCGAGCTGGTGCTGGAGGTGGAGCGGCTGAAGCGACGCAACGGCGGCGGCTGCGGCAAGGAGCGCGTGTCGCCGTCGCGCCTCGACTCGTTCGTGCGCACGCTCGAGGAGGAGAGGGACCACTTCCGCGCCGAGGCGGACCGCCTGGCGGCGCTGCTGCGGGCCGGCGCCTCGAGCCCCACGCGCAGCCCCACGCGCCACCGCAGCCCGAGCCGCACCTCCCCCGTCAAGGTTGGCGCTGGGTGGGGACGCGGGCGTTGCGGGCCGTGCGGCTGCCATCGGTTGTTAAGGCTACGGTCGTCGTCTTTGCCGTCGGCAGCCTTGATCCATCCCATTGCTGGATGAAAGACCCCGCAAGCTCTCGCCATCTCTCAGTCACGCGATGTAACAATCCATCTAGCTCCTGCGCACAAGCTGATTTCATCCGTCCTCTATGTATTAAGATGTGTTCAGCCAATGAATTAGTGTTTATACTTGTGGAAGGGAACCAGAGTAACCGAATAAAACCCACACGTGCGAGGGGGCCAAACTATATCCCATACGAATGGGACTTATGGAGATTAGTCCACACTTGCTTTACCACCTCCTGGCAAGCCAGAGAATGGCGCCTCCTCCACGCCCACGTGCAGGGAGCTTTGCAACATTTACGCGATCTGCCAATCCGCGGCACCAGATTACCGGCCGCGCGCCATTGCCACCTGCGGAGCGCGGGTTCCGCGTGAGAGTGAACGGCGCCGCTCGGTGTTGCCCCGGCAGGGCGGCACCTACGAGTCCAGGCTGGTGCAGGTGACGCGGGAGCGCGACGAGCTACAGGGCATGCTGGACAAGTTCGAGCGCCACATCGCCGAGATCCAGGGCAACGTGAAGGTGCTCACGGCCGAGCGCGACAAGACCAACTCTCTCTACCAGCAGGTGAGAGGGCGCCCCCCCGCACCCCCGCCCCCCCCGCCCCCTCACTAGGGGCCTACGGGCAGTGGGTGGGACCGGAGCAGTAAGGCTCACCCAGTGCTTGTCAATAGGCCCGTGTGTTGTGTGTGTATATACGCATATGGGGAGCGGTAGCGTAGTGGTTATGTAGCGCCCTGCTCTACAAATCTGGTGACCTGAGGTTGGGTCCTAGCCACTTCTAATATCAGAACTGGTAGCAGGCCTCACCTAGGTTGACTCGGATATAAACAACAAGTACCTAGTAGAATGTATAAACCTTGGCACTGGGAATACACCGGGCTTAATAGGTGCTCGCTAACAGCACTTGCCACAGTCTCTATGGTTGCATACGATTGATCTTTGTCGTTTGTGTGTATGCGTATATTTATGTGTGTGTATGATGCGCCTCCCTTAATAGGCGCTAACAGCATTTATTCCAACAGTCTTAGGCTGCAGGGGCTTCTTTGTCTTTACGCGTGTGCCCCTGTGCGTTTGTGTTTCCCCAGTCCCAGGAGGAGCTCGCTCGCCTGCGCCGGGAAGCCGTGCGGAGCCCCAAGTCGGCGCGCGCGGGGCTGGGCGCCCAAGCCGTGCTGCGGCGCGTGGAGCGCGAGCGGGACGACGCCATCGCCGACCTGAGACGCATGACGACCGAGCGCGACAGCCTGCGCCAGCGGCTACAGGTGCCGCAAGCGCTCCGGGCCCTCCCGGCAAAAACCAAACCACAACCCCTCTGCCCCTCCTGTCGCTTTACATTCTGAGCACATGCACGCACAGCTGATATCGTTTGTTTGTAAGGATGTTTGATAAGTAGCAAACATACGAGGGTATCTTTGGGTGTTGCCTCTGATCAAATCACCCATAATGCACCCAATCACATATGAGGTGTCCGGGTGGTCCAGAGGCCAGTGCGCCGTAGTGAGTGGATGGTTTCTTGACCAACGACTGCACGCAACACAAAAATGTAATTAGTTCTTATTTAAGTTAAGTGGGTTTAAGTTTCACCCCCTGCTGTGCAGAACGGAGGTCACTAGAAGAGACATCGGAAGTGGCTTCAGCTCATTACGTGGTGCCGACAGTACAATTGAGATAAAACTGATTTATTTTTTGCATTTTCTCATCGTCGGTGCGCGTGGCAGATTGCGCAGGAGACGGCGATCAGCGAGCGGGCGAGGCTGGAGCAGCGGCTGGAGGACGTGGAGGCGAACGCTCTTACGGTGAGAGTCGCCCGACGCTTGGCATCAAGGTTAACGCGGAGTTGGCGGCGCTTGCGTCACACCCGTGCCCGACTTGAGACTGTCATGTCGAGCGTCTGTTTAAATATTTTGTACAGGCGTTGTACATTTAATTCACATTTGAAAGTGCTGCCCCCCCCCCAACCTATTGTGTGGTCTAGAAGGCCTATGAAGGGATATCAGAAGGAGGTAGTTCTGTAGTGTTCACTTCCATGAGCTGTTATCTGGCATTGTCAGTTGCACTGCTCTGCGAGATTTATGAATAGCTGCAACGTTTATGCGATCCACCAACGCGAACAGCACAATCGGGATGAAGTTAGGGGAAATTGTGATAAAAACATTCCGGGTTTAGTTGCTCACTGCCAACGCGCGCGACCGGGGTCTGTGAGCAGTTGGAGGGAGAGCGCTCGGACCTGCGCGCTCGAAGCGCCGCCCTCAAGGACTCGGTGGCCGGGCTGGAGGAGGAGGTCAAGGGTCAGGCGCGCAGGCTGGCTGAGCGGGAGGACGAGCTTGCGCGGCACAAGTCCGAGCTCGGCTCCCTGAGGTTCGCAGAGCGTGGGGCAGCACTGCACTGTGCTGCACTCCGCAACACTGCACTTTACAGTGGACCACTATTCTGCACTGCACCGAACCACGTTTCTCTGCAATGCAGAGTTAGGTGTTTTATGATACCCAATGGTGGGCAGGAGAGAGCAATAGAGCAAAATATTTTGTTCATGCTCCGGTCTTCATCAGCCCATACTGGCGCGGCGTGGAGAAGGTAAAATAACCCCGACGTCCTGCACGGCGTTGGGGAGGCCCTCATCTAACGGTGGATTGATCATGCGTGGCGGTGATGATGATGATGGTGGCCCTGCTGACATCGCTTAGTGAAGTCACGGTAGAGCGTGGAGTCGGTCGCTCAGGAGACGCTCGGGAGAGGGCGCTAACGTTTGGCGGTGTGGCGGTGGCGGCGGCGCAGGCTTCTGAACGAGCAAGCGGAGGAGGCCGTCTCGGAGGTGCAGCGCCGCCTCGTTGCCAAGTCCGCCGAGCTACAGTCCACGCAGGACCGGGGCGCCAGGCTCGACGACAAAATCGGTACCGAAGAAAGTCGCTGTTACGGCTGTCAGTGGGGTGCGTTGTTTATGTCGGGGTTACTCAACTGGAGGCCCGCGGGCCAGATGTGTCCCGTGGAAGCTGTGAGAGTGGCCCGACGAGAGATTTGGCTCACCGAGCCAAAGAGATAAAGCTTTGTGTTCAACAAAAGAGGGATAAGAAACCTGGAGCTGAGAGGTACAGATGATTAGTCACGTGTGCAGACATTTGTCGAGTGGTGGAGGGATATCGGTAAAAAATTACATTATACCTCCACGATCTAAGCCAAAAGAAACTAATAAAAAAATTGTGTAACATGGTCTTAAGACTCAACAATGCTTTCCTGACTAAATAACTTGTTCGTAAATAAGCAACTGTTAAATAACTTATATTACTTAAATATTTGTAGATTTCACAGTCGATTTGATCTTAGCTGGTGACGACGACGACGCTATCAGAGGACGGGGGAGAGCGTCGTGCTGGTGCGACGTGACTAATCGGGGTGGCATGTCGTGCCCGCGCGCGGCAGCCGAGCTGACTCGGCACAACGCGAACCTGCGCGAGGAGGTGGCGTCGCTGCGCGCGGCGGTCTCTGATCTGGACCGCGAGAAGGACGGCCTCCAAGAGGCCGTGGACGACAAGACGGAGGCCATCGTCGTCCTGGAGGAGAGGCTCGCGCAGAAGGTGGGAGCCGGGAAACGCACCTCCGATTAGCACGTTTGGCTTCGTACGGTGCGAAAGAAGTTCAACGTGCGTACGTACCTCGCCGCCCAAGCGGCGCGTCGGAGACTTGCGGTGTCGGGGAGTGGGCGCGCTGGCGGTTGACGTTTTTTGCGTCGTTTGTGTGGACAGGATAAGAGCATCGGAGACCTGCGGGTGACGGCGTCCGAGCTGCAGTCGACGCTCGAGTGAGTCTGTGTGCTGTGCTTGTGGATGAAACACGCTCACTCCGGGACACTCGTTGGGGTGCCTGAACACGTAATGACACGCAACAAGTAGTTGGTGACCAAGTCAAACAACTCCCACTCTGTGGAGAGGCCTTCATCCAGCAGTGGATTGTACAAATAGGGGTAAATTCTGTTATTTTTTGTGGTTATTGTAGAGTATTGTATATAATGCCATCATAGTATTTGTCCCATGGGGGAGTTGCTCACACTTGCGCGCGTGTGTGTGCGTATGTTTCTGCGTCCGCGTCTTCGTGCGTCTGTGCGCGTGCATCCTGCCCGCAGCCGTGCTCGTGACTCGCTGGGCGGGCGCGAGCGCGAGGTGGTGTCGCTGCGGCGCCAGCTCGACTCGGTGAGCGTCGAGCTCAGCGAAACGGGGCACGGCCGCGAGGTGGCCGTCCGCGAGAACCACCGCCTGCAGGATGACCTGGTCACCATGACGCGCGAGAACCAGGTGCTGCCCCCCACCTCCGCCCCCACCTCCTCCACAGTTACATTGCTGTGCCATTGTTTTGCTGTACTGCATTCAGGTCACGTCGTAGCATTTGTCGAGGATGCAAAGAGGGTCATTTTGATCACGAACTCCTTTCCCGTTTGTAGAAACTCTTGACAGCAGCTGTCGGTCTGCTCCAGCCAGGAGGCCTAGGCCTAGGGCCTCCTCCACGCAACCAGGTTACCTTGTCAGTAACCTGATGGGTATGGTCAACCAAAGAGAGAGACACATGACCAAAACTGAACAGGGTGCCGCTAGCTAGCAGAAAGAAGCTCTGACAATTACTGTACATTGTAATAATAATCCCACATAGTGGCTAATAAATTAAAACTGCTTACTGTTAACGCATTGTGTTCCGTCCTCCGTTCCTTCCCCTCCCGTCTCTCGCCTCCTCTCGCGCCGGACCACGGCAGACGGTGAACCACGAGCTGGAGGACGCGCTGCAGCAGCGTGAGCAGCTCAAACTCAAGGTGCAGGATTACGTGGCGGAGGTGGCGCGCGTGGAGGCGCTCCTTGCCGGCAAGGTACGTGTGGCGGTGTCGTGCATGCGGGACGGGCGCAGGTTTCTGGTGTTGGCAGCACCCTCATCGTGCCAAGCAAACAGCACGTAAGCGTATCGCCCGCCGTCGCGATTCCATGAGTTACCAAAATTCGGGAACGCATCTCCATTCAAGGATCGATTGACTTTTGTCGTTTGACCTCGTGGTGGATGTAGCAGCTGCAGCGGCTGCAGGGGTCCCACACAGCTGATTGAATACAATGGACAAGAATCCGTGAACATCGCTTCTTGAACACGTGCGTCAGTGCGTGTATGGATTCTTAATTTGAATACCACATTTAGCAACAGTCTTCGGTGAAGTTAGTAAATGAAGCGGTTGTAGTGCTTCTATAGAGCGTAAGCACCGGGGATGCTAATATTCACCTTCCCTGATAAGTCGATGAGTTGGGGTCACGATTCGATGCAATCATCGCCTCCCGTTTGTCTTGTTTGCGCCGTCTCGTTTGCATTGTCCCTCCGGTGGCACTTTGTCTCTGTTAATTCCGTCTTGTTCATTATCATTAGCCTCGAGGTAAATACAAACTCCTGCTGGCATTATATATGCATTGAGCTTACGAATCAATTTTAAATGACGAATCGATGCGTCGTTATGCGCTTGTTGCAATGTCTTGCTCACGCCACTGCTGGTGAGAGGGCCTCTACTAGGGTGACAGCCCCTCGAGAGGGAAGTTGACCTTCTCTTCTCCACTGGCCAGAGGTGTGAGTACCCACACTTTACCCCCACCACATGTGACCTGCCGATCAGCTCACTGCGGTGTACCCATTTATACTGCTGACTGGCTTTTCAAAGAGCGTGGAGTCACGATGTCATCTGACCACGGCAGGCTTCAGAGGATAATCCAATATTCTCTCTCTTTGTCCACACTTATTGACGGTGAGAGAAAAAGAACGAGTTTTTCCTGTTTGAATAAATGAGCGTAATTCACGGTCAAACAAAAGTCAAGTGACACGGACAGGAGGAGGGGGAGGAGAAGGCGACAGAGACGCGAGGAACAAAAGGCGCGCTCGGGCGGGCGGGGGGGGGCGTGCCTCTCGCACCGTTCTGTGTGGCGGGCGCTGTGCCTGCCGCCGTGCGCGCGACGGGGAGGTGTCGCGCTACAGGCCCCGGGGCGGCAGGTGGCTCTGCGGTTACGCGCTGACACGTGAACGGACGTCTCTTGCCTCGTCACCGGCAACGGCGCGGGCAGCGGCGCGTGCTTATTGCGTGCGTCTCCACCGCCCGCTTCGAATTCCTTCGCTCGCCGGGGCGGCACAGGGCCGGTGAAGGGGCTGACGCTGCACGGTGGATAATTATCTGTTTTTGTGGTAACATTTATTTTATACTAGAAAACTGCTGAAGTAGGCCTACCTCAGCAGTTTTCTTGCTGTAGTTGTCTCACCTGATGACGATTGCTTGTGTTGCGATCGAAAAGTCGTGATCTATTATTTTTTCTGCCTACATGACTTTACTGAAAGAACCAAAGAGTATGGATTCCTGCAGTCACTATTATTTTATGGTGTGAATTGTAGTTGTTAGGTGTTGTCCGTCCACTGCTGGATGAAGCCCTCGACATTCTCTTGAAATTCCCATCAGTTCTGCGATGCCACAATCCATCGCGCCCTTGCACAGAATCTGATCTCATCATCCAGCAGTGGGTAGACGGTCCTTGACGACGTTGCAGTAATCGCGTCTCGCCTGCCCCGCGCCCGTAGGAACACGAGAACCGCGAGCTGCTGGAGCAGTTCCGCCGCGCGAGCAACCAGGCGGAGACGTGGGAGGTGAAGGCCACGGAGGCGGAGGGGCAGACGAGCAACGTGCGGCTGGAGCTGCTCTCCACCGACACGGAGCGCCGGCACCTGCGCGAGCACGTCGAGCGCCTCGAGCGCGAGATACAGGAGGTGGGGGGCGCGCGGTCCGCACGTGATCCACGCACACTGCACGCACATGCAAACGTGTACACATACACGCACGCACGTGGACCGCACGCACGCTGCACGCACACGCACATGCAAACGTGCACACATACACGCACGCACGCGGACCACACGTACTCATGTGCTCTGCACGTCATCCACACGCACACGCGCGCTCGCATACCGGGTACGATGGTACCGGTCTTCACATCAAATCGACTCATTAGGACTCTTGGTATTCGTGCCATACCTTAGAGCGCCAGGCTCTCAGGATGGTGCTATTTCACACATGAGTATAGTCTGCAGTAGTTTCACAATAGGTGGCGATTTTACGACCTTTGAATATTTTTTTTTTACCGAATTTTAATTGTTAGGACGTTAATCCTATGTACTGGATCAGCATTGCTGCAAAGTGGTTTGGTTGTATTCGTACTGCAACACAATCTTTGTTGACTAATTATTCAGCAGGCCAGATGACCCACTCTTGACGGTGGCCATGACCGAAAGGGACTCTTCCTTGGTCTCTGCTTGTCCTTGCGGCTGCCAGCGTCTAATGCGAGACTGCGTGGTTCTGTATGCACCAAGGGCGGGTCGCTAGAGTTGCCACCAGTTTTGGTTTTCCCCGGATCATTCTCCTTTTGAGGTCGCTGCCTCTGTAAGTCTTCCGGGGACATTAAAGCACCTGACTTTTGTCAGTTGCGTACTAACACAGCACTCAAGACAATATATTTAGATGTAGTTGTCCCTCTTCCACCGGTATTGTGAAATATTCTTCTTCCCAAGACACGTCCCGGTTTTTTGGACCTTGGAAGTGGCAACCGTAGCCATCCATCGCACGGCATAATTATGGTGCCGCCCCCCGCCCCCACCTCTTTCCCATGCCCCCGCGCAGCACGAGGCGGCGCAGCAGGCGTACGAGACGCAGGCCTCGTCGCTGGAGCAGACGCTGGCGCGGCGCGAGGCCGAGCTGCGGCAGGTGCAGGCGGAGCGCGGCGCGGCGCAGGCCGACCTGGCCTCGGTGCGGGAGCTCTGCGTGAAGCTCGACTCGGCCAAGGAGACGCTGTCGCGCCAACTCACGGCCACCAAGGTCGATCACGAACGGGTGAGTCGGAGGTGGGCGACGAGAGTGCTCGTCTGCAAAGTCTTCCTCGTTTTTGCCAGATATCCCAACAGTGCTGCTGTGGACATGTACGGCCACGAGCAGGAGGGTGTGAGCACTGCGCTTCCTTGCCATGCTGCCATGTGGCTTACATTCCATATTCTGTAGCCTCCTCTTTCAATTGTATCTTTTGGCCTGGTTTTATACGAGACGAATAATAAATTCGGAGCGCTCGCAGAGTCGTACATCGCCTCTTGTTAGAGAGCAGTCTGTGGAAGGAAAGAGCGATTGCAGAACTAATTCAGAAATCTCTTCTGATGACCTAACAGTTGCATGACAGTTCTTGGAGCTGAAATTTTGCCGACTGAATTTAAAAGTAAAAGTTAATACGAGTCACTGGTGGCTTGGCTTAACCCAACAACTCGGCTAACTCATTGCACTTGCGAAACCCGATTTAATCAAACGCCGCTGCCCAACGCTGTGCCCTCTGCCTGTGTTCGGTCCGCGGCGCAGGCTCTCGGGGAGCTGGAGAGCGCCCGCACGGAGGTGGAAATGACGCGCAAGCAGGTGGGCAGCGAGCGGGCGGCCGTGCGCAGCCTGGAGGCCCTGCTGGCTTCGGGGCGCGAGAAGGAGTTCCACAGCCACCTGTCAAGCCAGGAGCGCGAGTCGGAGATCGGCCTCCTGCGGGAGAGGCTCACGCTCGCCGACAGCAAAGCGTGAGTGGCGAGCAGCGTCACGAGCGCACCGGCACGCCGCAACGCCCACGGCGCGCCGGGCACGCCACAAGGCATCACGGCACCACAGCACTCCCCACGATGCCCCAGAATGCACCACAACAAAGCACGGTGCGGCAAGGAACTCTTCGCCAAATCACCGCGGCACACAAATGGACGACGCAGGCACGCATCGGTTACTCTCGGCATCGGGGCAAAGCCGCGTCATAATTGTGCCGACCCCGCGTGTTTGAGTGTGCAGGGTGAGCCAGTCGAGAGAGGTGGTCCAGCTTCGCAGCAAGGCCACGCAGCTCGAGTCTGAGCTGGAGCTCACCAAGCGCCAGCTCACCACCGAGCGCTTTGAGAGGTGCGTCAGTGCCGCACGGCCCGGCACAGCACCGCACAGCTCGTCGTGGCATAGGCGGAACACTGTGCAGCGCACCATGAGACACTGCAGCGCTAAACAGCATGCCATGGCACAGCAAGGTTCACCGTGGTAGTGAAATTTCATGCGACGATCATTACCCTCGGTGGCAGAGCAGGGGGGAAAGTGCTGCCCCCTTACTCTGCGTCCCAGGTCACTTGAAGCGATCTCAGAAGCGGGTCTGTGATAATCCCTTCCATGGGATGTTCTCAAATCACTGGGGGTCACACTGCTGTGCGCTAATGCAAGTAGATTCTCAGTCTCGTGACATAACGCTGATGACACAATCGGGATAAATATTTGGGAAGAAGACTTGATTATTTTTAAAGCTATCAAATGACATCCACATGGGCGCCACGTGGCATGGATTTGCGGTGCCTAAAACATGACGCTCCGGGCTGTATGCGGCGACCGCAGCGAGGCCCGCCTCTGAAAAATCTGCGCTTGGAGCGGTAAATGTTCTGCCTCCCTGTGACTCCGGCGGTACCACACAGAGCACTGCGCCAGGCATGCCGCAGTGCGGCGACGCGGATTGAAGGAAGCTCGCGCGCTGCGTTGTTTTGTCGCTCCCTTGAGAGCGCACGCTGATCTAAAGTTTTACGCGCCGATGTCGCCAATAACGTTTCGCGGTTCACGTTGTTCCGTACATCGGCGTGCATCTCCGCAGCAAAGAAACTTTGTACAAAATAATTATAGTTTTGTTATTGCACTGCCAGCCATGGATGGGGTCACATGGGTTGTCGTGTTTCGTGTCTTTGTTTTGTATCCGTGTTTTTTATCCGTGTTTTTTATCCGTGTTTTTTATCCGTGTTTTGTATCCGTGTCAACTACCGTGGATATGTGTCGTAAGAACACTACAAATATGTTTTACATAGATAGGTAACACACTCATCTTGGTTAGGACCCTCGTTTTTTTAACTTATTTTCACCCTATTATTCTTAAATGCCTTGAATGTTTGAAGGCGAAAAGAAGCCATTCCTTGCCTAGATCCTCTGCCAGGTTAACTAAATTGGGCACCCAAGCGAGAGGAGCGAGTAGGAGTCAGTCCTACTTCTTCTATGTAACCATTAAACAAACATGGACCGTGAATACAGTGATTAAAGCATTTTAAATATGGGTTTGAATGTCACGTGACGAACATCACTTTTGGTGGCAGGGTGAGTGGGAGCGTGCTGCCCCCTATTGTGTAGATCAGAGGTAACTCAGGATAGCTCTGTGGTGTCTGCTTCAGTGGGCTTTTGTTCCACGAAGGGTTGCACTACTGCGCGAGAGATCTGTGTGGCCTCTACTTCTCATGACGTGACACCGCTAGCACAATCGGGCTGAAATTTACAGAAAAATGAAGAAAATATAAACATTGGCTTCGATGAACGTCAGTGGCTCAGTAATGCGCAGCTACGTTGTAAAACATCACCGGCTGAGTGGCATTGGTGAACGCGGGATGTGCACCATTAGAAGGGCGCGCCACACTTACTCACAGGAGAGTTTCGCCGCTAAACTTGAACGTCACACTTGTGCGGCCCCCACCCCAGGGAGCGCGCGGTGCAGGAGTTGCGACGTCACGGCCTGGCCACGTCGCTGAGCGCATCGTCGTCCTCTCCTCTCCGCTCCTCGCACAGCCCGCGCGGACGCTCCCCTGAACGGTTTGCGCCCCCCACCCAGTCACCCTGACCTAGTCCCCCCCCCCCCTCCCTCTCGATCCCAGCTCTTCCCTTTCGGCCCCCTTCTTTTGAAAGCTTTGGCCCCTGCGTTGTGTCCACGTAAAACTTTCACTTTGTTTTTACTACGCTCGACAGCCAGTCACGAACATCGTCATCACCGTCGCATGCGGAATTCACTTATGTCATCTGCAATATAAAGAGGCGACTGTTCAAGATGCGTTCCGTTGGGTGCAGGTCGCCTGCACGGCTGCATCGCATCGCATCGCCCGTGGGAAGTCGTGATGAGTAATCGGAAACTTTCTCTGAAGCTTTGCCCTTTCAACTGCCCAGTCACCATGAACATTCGAAGCAATACCTCTCTGTGTCCGCCGGGCGGCGCTGATCTCGTTGTGATGGCCAAGGTGAACATTTGTAGCCATGGGTTTTTTTTATATGTAGGCCAATGGGCATAGGTCACATGTAGCTCATGCCCCGAGTTCCTGGCAAAACGAGCCCTTGACTCTACAACCAAAAATTGTCGAGTGCTGTCGCTGGCCAACCGATTGATATGAGAACAAATGAGGTTTTCTATTGGACGGCAGGTCGGCACAGTGCCTCCACAGCAAGGAGCCCCCGGGTTCGATTCCCAACTCAGGTGCCTCTCTGTGTGAATTGTGTATATTCTCCCCCTGTTGTGCGTAAGTTTCCACTGGGTTATCCAGTCTTCTCCCTGAGCTAAAACAAACACGCAACGTCACTGGTATTGGCCAAACATCCCATTGCTGAAAGTTACCTGCGCTTCACTCAATCGGGATTGCATGTAGCAACATCATCGCCTGCCACGAAGACCCTCCTGAAAAGAGCCCACTGAGGCTTTCCTGGCTAAACAAGCGAACTAATAATGTTCGTGAGGGTTGTCCTGAGTTCAATGAAACAGAGGAAGCCTCTTTTAATTCATCGGAATGGACAGTTGAGCAACATTTACTCCAATAGCATCACTGGAACGAGATTCTACGGCATTTGCTCACTGTCTAAATGTCCTTCTCTCTGGAGTCGTCCATTGAGTGCTGGGAATGCCGACTCCGTTGAGCAGGCGTGCGTGTGCCGATTCTCCCCCTCACTCTGCAGTGAATTGCCACAAGTGAAGGGCATGGTTCAGTTCAAGAATCTATCATGTCTTGTCGTTGTGGTGCACGCAGATTTTCGAGTGGCTGCAGGGTTTATGTGACCATGAGATTGGTCCTCCCGTATTTTGAGTTGCTCCAACGCAAGGCTGCGTGCGTTACACACGCAGCGTGGTGATGCTCTGTACCGCGCAAGGCACGATGGGACGACCCATCCCATGGATACAGTCGGGCCTTTTGTTGTCTAGAACATGACATTTTGCGCGTATTATTAATATGATTACTCTTCCTTGTTTCCAGCCCGCACGTACTTTACAGTCCAATGACTTTCTCGCGATTCTTTCAGAACGTGTTCGAAATTTGTTCACTCTAAAATCTGACGCAATCACGAGTTCCCCGGGGAGAGGTGCTGCGGAATCTCTCGGTTCAACCGAGCAGTCGGCGGTTGTTGCCATTCCCCTTTCGTTGCTTGTGAGGGTGTTTTGCTACCTCTTTAATATCTGCAGCTGCCAAGGAGCTCTCTCTATTCCTAAGCCCCGCGTCTAAGAGCCTCCTTTATAAACACCGGGGCAAGGCTCCACGTTGCGCCCTGCGAGGCCTCCCACTACGCGAGTCCGAGCGGAGTGGAGAGCCACTTTGATGTTTTCTTGTTTTGTTTAGCCGTTGTGCGTTTTTTTTTACGTCTCTCTCTCGCTTTCTCAATCTCTCTTTTAGGAGCGTCTCCTTCAGAGATTGAAGGACCCCCGCGGCTGGGTGGTACGGGTGGCCACGGGGCCCCACGTCTGCCGCCTGAGGGTTAATGCCGCGGGCCTCTCGTCGCCGAGATCGGCAGGAGAGCTGTGGGGATCGTGGGCCGCTCGCCGTGTGAACCTGTGTGAAGCGCATCCTCCTACCTGTGCGATTTCGTTGTGCTTCTTTGTGAATACGTTTGAACAAATATTGGGTGCTATATTGTATTTTAAAAACATAATTTGTGTTTTGCGTTGTTGTTTTTTTACGTGTGCGTTATGGCTAACTTTATTTTTGTACTTTATTAATCTCCTATTGGTGAATAAAAATGTTATGCTATAATCAATTGCCAAAAGTAAATTTTATATATTTTTCTTCTTTGCAATAATTTCCCTGCTCGTGCAGTAACCGTAACGCGGCTCACGAGCACCTCTGACTTTGCCCGCGGGATCGTGTTACGCATATTACACGTGGCAAGCGTCTGTGCGACTGTCTCCGTGCCACCAGTCCTTCAAGTCCGGATGCAACAGCGGTCATTCGTGGTGGCGCCTGCCCCACGCGACGCGATCGCACCGTCGCGTGGCACCATCGCGCGTTCCGTCCTCCCGCTCGGGGATCGGAGGCTCGACGTGTCATGGGTCGCCACGATAGGTGGAAAAAAAAAATCACGATGGAAACCGCCGTCCCCACCGGACGCAGGCAGGACTTTCCACCTCTCCGCGGTCGGAACGCGCGAGCGATGTACCCGTCGGCAGCCTGCCTCCAGTTACAGTCCAGTGGCCTGCTCGTGATGAGTCGATATGGGTGTAAATAAAACATTGCGTTTTGACCATCGCGTTGGTCTGCCGTGTCGTGGAGCGTGCGTTCCGACGAGCCGCGGTCGTTTCACTTCACCTCTCGACATAGCGCACGCCATTATTGCCGTATTCGCCACGAAGCGCGCGCACTATTATAGCCGTTAACGCTCACGTACGCAATCGAAGGTTACGTCCCATAATCTGCAATTACGCTGTCTAGGAATTAGAAAAGGCTTTCCCAACATATGGTGTTAACAGCTACGCACTCTGGAGTCATCCCACGGAGTCTAACAGGAGCCATGTGGGAATTAATTTAAAGTTGGGTGGGAGGGACAAACAACTGCTGTCGCTCATTTTGGGTAACGAAGGATGGCGAACTGACGGCAGCTCGTGGACTAGTTGCAGCTATTAAAAGGCATAGCATCTGGCTTGCTGCCCTTTCTGTGTCATAGCTGAATGGGCATCTGCCAACGCGCTTTGCTCCCACACCCATGGATTCTTTAAGTACTTAGTGAATCGGTAATAACTTACATCACGTAATGCCCTGGCTTCCCCCTGGGCGCGATATTGCACGGGCGACCGGGAGTGGCTGTCCTGATTCGGCGGAGATGGGCGAAGTGCAGCAGCCCGTCCCTGCGGGCCTGGACGAGACCGGCGCTCGCCACGGCCGCGTCGTGTCATCGCTTGCGTGCCGGCGAAATGAATAAATGAAGCGGCCGGGACATTGGCTGCAGTCGATTCCCATTGTAGAGAGATGGGGACAGGCAGGGTGGATGGTAGGACAGGGTGGGGGGGGGGGGTCAGGATGGGAGCCGCTGATGGACGGAGCGGTGCCTTAATTGCCTCCTGGGCAGACAGCCCATGTGTCTGGCTGTGGCCAGTACCGTTATGTGACAGGCGTGTGGAAATGGTTTTTTGAGGTTATGGGGGCAATTAGCCAACAAGGGGCCGTGGAGAGAAGACCAGGGGACCCAGATAGCTCGTCAATGAGAGGGCATGGCATATGGCTTGCCCCCTCCCCCATCTAAAAGTTAGGGGGGGGAGGCAGTCCTTGCAGACATGGTTGTTCTATGTCGATTTTAGTTTCCTGAATGGGCCATTGAGCTAAAATGTCAAGTCTTATCAGAATCAGAATATCTTTACTGGAGTGGAGGAATCCGATGAGCTGTGAAGCTATTTTTCACAGATGCCCAGTAGGGGCGTGACAACAACAAATAGTACAAAAAACATGATAGTATATACGGTACTAAACTACGGCACGAGTGAAATTCTAATCTATATTCATATTTCACTAGCGTGGATGAAGACTATGTACGTGTTATAATGCCTCTTTATCCAATACAATTGTAGTGAGTTCAACTAAGTCGCAGACGTACTCTTTGGAGGCAACACATTTATTAACACCAACACACGGGGTAACTGCTCCTTTACAGAATTTGCAACCTGTGGTGGTGACCACCAGGCTGGCTACACTAATTACTACACTACACCGTGACTGGTGTAGTTAACCGGGTGGTGACCACCAGGCTAGCTACACTAGTTACTACACTAATTACACCGTGACTGGTGTATTTAACCGGGTGGTGACCACCAGGCTAGCTACACTAGTTACTACACTAATTACACCGTGACTGGTGTAGTTAACCGGGTGGTGACCACCAGGCTAGCTACACTAGTTACTACACTACACCGTGACTGGTGTAGTTAACCGGGTGGTGACCACCAGGCTAGCTACACTAGTTACTACACTACACCGTGACTGGTGTATTTAACCGGGTGGTGACCACCAGGCTAGCTACACTAGTTACTACACTAATTACACCGTGACTGGTGTAGTTAACCGGGTGGTGACCACCAGGCTAGCTACACTAGTTACTACACTACACCGTGACTGGTGTAGTTAACCGGGTGGTGACCACCAGGCTAGCTACACTAGTTACTACACTAACTACACCGTGACTGGTGTAGTTAACCGGGTGGTGACCACCAGGCTAGCTACACTAGTTACTACACTAATTACACCGTGACTGGTGTAATTAACCGGGTGGTGACCACCAGGCTAGCTACACTAGTTACACTGTAACTGTTGTCAGGTGCATAGCCGCCGTCACCCGGATATTTTATGATCGACAGTTTCAGTTCACTGAAACGCTCAAATCTGCTCGAATCGTGTCACATATTCAAAACAACAATGACCGTTCATTGTGGCGAGTGTGCATATCGTAACTATTCCAATAACATCATCTGTCGACGCAGGGAAGTCTTCAGAGTCCCAAGGGCTCGTTCTCAGGAGGCTCCTGCTCCATTTTGATGTTTGGCAAATGCCACTAATGACGAGCGCGTGGCTTGTACTCCGCTGCAAGTATCCAATTATAACCCGAAGCAGCAGCAGCAGCAGCACAGGCGGTCATAGTCAATCATTCACCCACCGGCAAATATGGATCAATCGTCCAATAGAGTCCATCACAGGAGCGAGCCATGGCGGAGCTACTGAACCGCGAGTGGAAAAAGTGACGAGTTTCAGGAAGAGCAGACGGGGTGGAGGGGGTGGGGGTTGTGGTTAAAGGGTGGGGCTGTCCACCCCCCAGATTTTGCCCCCGTCCCACCGTGCTGATATCAATTAGAATCGTCACGATGGATTTGTTTGTTTGTTGAGCGAGGTAACAAATGTATGGTCCTCCCGCACCTCCGATTCGCACAGTTGGCTACGTACGGCGCGAAAGAAGTTCAACATACATACAATACCGACTTTGATTATGATCCTTGATGGCGCTTGGTGATGAGGATGTGTTGGAGGATGGCTATGATGATGATGAGATGTGAATGGTGTTAATAATTACGCTCGATGGTGAAGATGAGCATGATTTGTGATGATGACGATTGAGGATGTGAATGATGACGTAAAGATAATCACCATGATCACGCGGATGACGACGATGACATTTAAAATACATTTTCATGATGCTTTATGATCCCGTGAATAATGACGGTGATGATTACTTGGACAATGATTTTAATCTTCATGTAGATGATGAACCCTGTGTCTTCACGTGAATCGTGATGTGACGTAGAGTGACGTAGACGATCATGATTATGACGATTCAGCGAATTATTTTGCGGTGCTGCTGCTGCTGCGTCGGTAGTGGTGCGAAAGCACAAACAGCGAAACAAACTCAACACATTCGCCAATAACAACACTGTGACCTTTAGTGAAAACATATAAGAGGCTACGTTTTGGGTAATATCCCGTGTGCTTTATGTGCTACGAAGAAGGGCCATTGCCCGAAACGTCGCATATGTTTTATTTTAAGGCCACAGTTGATGTGTTTGTTGATGATTACGATGATGATGCTGCTGGTCACAATGATCATGACCTTGATGATGACCCGCTCATTGATCGGCATGTGCATGACTCCGTGGCACGGAGCTGAACTGGAACACGTTGCTGTAAATAATGAAACACGAGCACGGCTCCTCCTCCTCCTCGCCTCACTCAGACGCACGTCCAATCCGAACGAGCTCAGCAGAGAGGGGCGCCTCCTCGTGACGAGGAGAGGGGGAGGGAGAGCGTGTGGGGAGGCACAGAGGAGAGAGAGAGAGAGGAGGGGAGAGGCAGAGAGAGATACCGGAGACCGTGATGAGCTCATTGCTCCGCTACAAGTCCACAACATCCAGTCTCTCTCCTCGGCGTTCTCTCAAGGATCCGTCGTCAGCTCGAGTCTGGATGCGCCCGTGAGCTGCCCGCGTGTCCGTCGTGCGTCACGACGTCTCTCCGTTAGGAAGATGCGCAGAGGTAAGAGGAGTGAGTGTCTTCGCTGTCACATTTAAAATGCATCAGCCACAAGGACGACGCGTTAGCGGGCCGGTGTTGGTCTCAGGGGCAGTACCAGGGACCGCGTTAGACAACTGTGGATCAGTGAGTGGCAGGAGCGGGCTTAGTGCCGGAGTTAGACGAGCTCTGGGTATGGGGCGAGTGGTATCGTGGTTCGGTGTTTTAGAATTAGAACCGGGGGTTAGTGACCTGGGATCTGTGGCCAAGAGCTGTGGTGCAGTGGTTAGCGCAGTGCGCTCTCTGAACTCAACTTGGCAGTCTGAGTTCGATTCCCGGTCAACACCGACCAGCAAAGGTGAAGTATGGTCAAACGAGCCTGTGGACTTACACAGAGGGTTGGCAAGGGGACTATACTTCAGTTTCTCGTATTCGAAGTTAGAACGAAGATTAGAAGAGCCAGTGACACCTGCTAGGTTTAAGACCAGGTTTAGTGTTGGAACCAGGGTGGTAGCCGGTGATATGTACTCGTTTGAAGACCACGTGTTAATGTTCGGGCCAGACGTAACGCCAGAGAGACATTTGATACATTTGGAACCACGTTTAATTTGGATTTCGTGGCGGTCAAAAACAAACACCCAACAGCAGCATTATCAGTGTACAGTACCAGCATGATTTACCAAGGGGCATTGCCCAGCCCAGCGTGGTGAAGTATGGTCAAACGGCCACCGGTGTTACCGATGCGAGACGCGCATGTGGAGGCCTTGGTCCAGCAGCGGGGTTTGACGCGGCTCCGCGTGGTGTCCCCGCTGATGTCAGCGAGGGGAGAGTTGCGGAGCGAGCGTCCGTGTCACTGTTGACACTGCACAGTGTCCGGATGGGTGTGTGTGTGTCGGTGTCTCTGTGGGGAGCGGTGGCGCAGCGGTTAGCGCACCGCCGACAATCCGCGAACCCGGCGTACCCGAGCTCGACTCCCGTTCGCGGCCAATATCTGAACCGGTCCTGGTGCCTCCCCGAGGTCGACTCAGCCTTAAATGAGCATCTGGTCCGGTGTGTAAACTTCAACAATGGGGAGACAAAGGCGGCTGGGTGTGATTCAGCCCCCCCCCCCACCACCTCATAGATAGGTCCTCATTTGGGGGGGGGGGGATTTTTGTCTTCATCTTTCGTTGATGTCTCTGCTGCGTGTCGCGACGCCGTGGCCGCTGTTTGCACTACGGCCACGAGTTCGCGACGCCCGTGATGACGGGCGAGGGGGTGGGGGGTGATTAGGGAGGGGGAGGGGCGGGTGTGGGCGGTGTGACGGACACGTTAGGTGAGACCCATCCATCCACCTTCTTCTGCACCATGTTGCTCGACTGGAATTGAACGTCGACCGCGGGTTTCGCGAAGAGTGGCTCGTGTTGCCCGTCATCATCGTGGTCGTCGGCCGTGTTCTACCCACTGCTGGATGGATGCCTCCGCAAAGCCGTCGCGTGAAATGTTTTTTTTTTACCAGCACGGAATCGGTGGAGGAAATTCCACCCTGCAGTGACAGACGCGATTGTATGCGCATTACAAATGCTGGCTTGCAACAGCCGTGATTAATTATGACAACATTCGTCATCGTCATTATGAAGCGCGATCAGTGGTGCTGCTGGAATGAAGAAGCCCTCCCAAAGGTCGTAGCCATCCGTGGGAGTCCTGCCACACAACAGTCCATCGTCTCGAGCCGATTTCGTCCCTCCATCTCCACGGTTGACCCCGTGAACCTTCGGGCGCGTCCTCTCTTTCACGCTGCCGCTCGTGAGTTCGCCAGAAGCGAAATTATCTCAACCAAGTTCCTTATCACGCGGACATTGATAGCAGCCAAATGTAGTCGAAGCAAGGGAAAAACCGGAGAACCAGGATACAAATCCACGCGACCTCGAGTATAACACGCAAATTCCAAATATACAACAGGCGTCAGGGTCGGGGTGGAACCCATGACCTCCTGCATACAGGGCGAGATAGTCAACATAATCGGCCCCTTCAAGCGATGCATCCTGCCAGTCCAGGCCACTCAACACTCCTGAACATGGTGCCGCATCATGTACACTTGGAGCTTGCAGTGCTTGAAGGCGGCCCGGGATCGAGACGATGAAACAGAGGCAGCAGGTTGGCCACCGGTTAGCTGTAGGTTGGCCTGATTTTGGGAAAACGGAGCTATTTTATGACAAGCAGCAGCATCAGAGACCGATGTGACGAGATAGCGATATGGGATTTAAAACAGCGTTGTCAACGTTCCGGTCTTGGCTGCAACATCAGCCACACAGCGTTGACATTCACTTAAACGGGCCTCACGCCCTGCTGGTGAGACTCAAATGAGCCAAAACCGGTTCAGAGCCTCTGGGCTCCTGAAATGCCACCGTAGAGCCACTGCTCTTGCATGTTACACGTGTGTGGAACGCACCCTTCTCTGTTGACTTTTTGTTTAATTTTCGATTAATAATTATTAAGCGCCGGTCCCACCCTCTCCCCGTGGACACCGCAATCTCGCGGTGTTTATGTTTGAGAGATCGTGCGCCCTTCCTTGCTGCTGTAGCCACGCAGAAAAGCCTCACCGAGTACCCAGACTTGTTTGCTGGAAGGTCCCACATTGTGACTCTTGGCTAATCCCATTCTGTGTTGCCTTTGACACATTTATGACCGAGTTAACGACGTCCATTTCGCCTGGATCTCAGATGTCCTTGTGTTTAACGTAACGCAAAAACACCTTACAAGTGGAGCCAGCGCGAGAAGGCTACCATCTCCCAGCCATAAATATCCGCAGTCGTAAGATTGTCGCCATGCAACCAAAACTACGGCCCAGGCAGTAAACCACTGCGGTGTGCACTCCTTCAACGGAAGAGGAGGAGGAGGCACAGTGAAACTACACTCGCCCTGTCTCTCGCCTGAAGCCCTCTCGTCGTGGCCAGCAGCAGACCAGCTCCTGGACGTACTGCTGCTACCATCGTGCGCGAGATAAGAACAACCGCAGATTGAGAACTCGAAGGAGCAAGTGAGAGAACAAGTGAGAGGGAGAGTTGAGTGAAATGGTGAAATGGGCCAAAGTCTCTTTTTTAACAACTCTGTGAAAGAGTTCCTCCTCTTCCTCACCGTCTTCGCTCACCACTGTACGGTTTCTAGTGTTTGCGTCATGGGGGTACTGCCGTTGAGACCACGAGTACTCACAGCGGTCGTCTCAGCCCTGGGGTCGTGTCACGGCTCCGGTGGGGGGGGGGGGGGGGTATGCAGTGGTACTGGGCCGCAAACACACTGAGCCCCCCCCCACCCCGCTTTTTGAATCAGAATGTATATTTTTTTATACTGGAGGAATCCGATGAGCTATAAAGCTCTTTTTCGCAGGATGTCCAGTCGGCATTGTGGAAGCAACGTATGCCCGTCGTGGCGCTTTGACGTGACCCCACAGGGACGCGCCAAGGAATTCTGGGACGATCCCACAGGGATAGATAGTGGCATTCATGTCGAGGGCAAGTGGCCGCTCTCTTTGAGGACGTTAATCCACAACCCTTCATCCCCTCGAACCCCTCCTGACTCGGTAATCCCACAACCACCCTATCTCTGCTTCAGCCCTCACTCTGCGCACTTTAAAGGCCATATAGCCGCTCTCTAACCTTCACCTTATCCTAAACACGCTCTCTGTAGATATATCCTGTGACCTTTACAATCTTCACCCTCCGCTGTTTCCATGACCCTAACCATATAAAGCCCTAACCCTTTCTGACGCTACATCCGGCCCCTGCCTGAGTCCGTTTCCAGCCCCCCTTTTGTCGGTCCGCTGGTGGATGAAGGTCTCCCCACAACTGTGCAGGCCATGGGGGTTATTTGACCGTACTTCACCACGCTGGTCGATGCGGGTGTGGTGAAGGCGGGCAGTGTAGACGTGGAATCACAGAAGTATTGTACAACAATTGATGGATGTATCAGCATCACCCTCTTAGTGCCCACAATGTAGCTACTCATGGCAACCTGTTTTATGCCACGTCGCCTAAGTTATATGTAGATTCTATTCAGGCACTATCAAGGCTCAAACCAGCTTAGCTTCTGAGATCTGACGAGATCGGACACATTCTGGGTGATTGGGTCAACAATAAACCCCATCGTATCTCTCCTCTCTACCCCTTTCATCCTGAATCCTCACTCTAACCCAAGCTATTATTAACCCTATTAAATCCCTTCTCCAGCTCTGAGCTGCCATCACAAGGCACCCCTCTGTGTGCTCGTGGCTTCTGTCAAAAGTGGCCTTCGTGTCACGTGGTGTGGCCCAGGCCGTGTCACGTGGTGTGGGGCTAAGACTTGTCACGTGTGGGTCTCCTGAAGTTCCCAGTGTCCCACAAAGCACACCTTTGTTTGGAAGAGATATTTCTAGGCAGCTCTTCCTGTCGTGATGATCACGACGACGATAATTATGATGTCGGTGGAGACGATGCTGGCGATTAGTACGAGGAGGGCTGAGAAAACGCAGAGCTTTTTGCCAGAAAAAGGCAAAGCAGAACTCGGTTTTGTGTCTCCACATCATTTATAAATGTACCACGTGGTTTAGTCCATTGGCTTTTAGATGGGAGTGCTCGTCTTGCCAATGACATCTGGTCACCCGACAGCATTTTGTTGAACAATCTTGACTCTGCTGATGAGATCCAGAGGGTTGAAATCGGGCCAGAGTTTGTTTGTTTGTTTAGTCAAAATCGACTGGATATTATTTTGCCTGGAAAGCCAATAAACTGATGATGGAACTAAAACGTATTTGTTGATCATAGGGTATAGAACCCGAGTTCTGCTTATATCTGAATTTAACCCATAATTCTCCGCAACAACAACAACGCACTCATTAGTTTGTGTACGAAGGCTCCACAGGGTTTGGGGGGGGAGGTCACAATTCCGTGTTCGTTTTTTTGTGTCTTTGCAGCATTCTCTTTGAGGACAGATGAAGGAGTTGCACATTAACTGCGTGTTGATTTGGCTGTGAGTAAAAGGGCGATGGTGGTGAGAACGAGAACGGCTGA